TGCCTCCTGTTTTGTTCTTTTTTTCTCAGGATTGCTTTAGAAATTCGGGGTCTTTTGTTGCCCCATATGAATTTTAGGATTCTTTGTTCTAATTCTGTAAAGAATGTCATTGGGATTCTGATTGGGATGGCGTTGAATCTGTAGATTGCTTTAGGTAGAATGGACATTTTAACTATGTTTATTCTTCCAATCCATGTACGTGGAATGTCTTTCCATCTCCTTATGTCGTCATCCAATTCTCTCAGAAAGGCCTTGTAATTTTCATTGAATAGGTCCTTCACTTCCTTAGTTAAATTTACCCCAAGGTATTTTATTCTTTTTGTTGCGATTGTGAATGGTATTGTATTCTTGAGTTCTTTTTCTGTTTGTTCATTACTGGAGTATAGAAATGCTACTGATTTATGCAAATTTATTTTATACGCTGCAACTTTGCTGTTGTTGATTACTTCTAACAGTTTTCCAATGGATTCTTGGGGGTTTTCTATATATAAGATCATGTCGTCTGCAAACAGCAAGAGTTTCACTTCTTCCCTCCCTATTTGGATTCCTTTTATTCCTTTTTCTTGCCTGATTGCTCTGGCCAGGACCTCCAGTACTATGTTAAATAAGAGTGGTGATAGAGGGCATCCTTGTCTCGTTCCTGTTTTCAGGGGGATGGGGTTCAGTTTTTGCCCATTGAGTATGATGTTGGCTATGGGTTTGTCGTATATGGCCTTTATTATGCTGAGGTAGTTTCCTTCTATGCCCATTTTGTTCAGAGTTTTTATCATAAATGGCTGTTGGATCTTGTCAAATGCCTTCTCTGCATCTATTGAGATGATCATGTGGTTTTTATTCCTCAGTTTGTTGATGTGGTGTATCATGTTGATTGATTTGCGGATGTTGAACCATCCCTGTGTCCCTGGTATGAATCCCACCTGATCCTGATGTATGATTCTTTTGATGAATTGCTGAATTCTGGTTGCCAAAATTTTGTTTAGAATTTTTGCATCTATGTTCATCAGTGATATTGGCCTATAGTTCTCTTTTTTCGTGGTGTCCTTGTCAGGTTTTGGTATCAGCGTGATGTTGGCCTTATAGAATGTGTTAGGAAGTGTTCCATCTTCCCTAATTTTTTGGAATAGCTTGAAAAGGATGGGTATTAAATCCTCTCTGAAAGTTTGGTAGAATTCCCCAGGAAAGCCATCTGGCCCTGGGGTTTTATTCTTTGAGATGTTTTTGATTGCTGTTTCAATCTCTTTCCTTGTGATTGGTCTGTTCAAATTGTCTGCCTCTTCTTGAGTGAGCTTTGGGAGACTATAGGAGTCCAAGAATGTATCCATTTCCTCTAGGTTATCCATTCTGTTGGCATATAGTTTTTTGTAGTATTCTCTTATAATCTGTTGTATTTCTGCAGAGTCTGTTGTTATTTCTCCTCGCTCATTTCTGATTTTGTTTATGTGAGCTTTCTCCCTTTTTTTCTTTGTAAGTCTGGCTAGTGGTTTGTCAATTTTATTTATCTTCTCAAAAAACCAGCTCTTTGTCTCATTGATCCTTTCTACTGCCTTTTTCGTTTCAATAGTATTTATTTCTGCTCTGATTTTTATTATTTCTCTCCTTCTGCTGACTTTGGGCTTCATTTGTTCTTTTTTCTCTAGTTCAGTTAGGTGTGCTTTAAGGTTGCTTATTTGGGATTTTTCTTGTTTGTTAAGATGTGCCTGTATTGCGATGAATTTTCCTCTTAATACAGCTTTTGCTGTATCCCATATGAGTTGGTATGGCATGCTATCATTTTCATTTCTTTCCAGGTATTTTTTTATTTCTTCTTTAATTTCTTCAATGATCCATTGCTTGTTCAGTAGTGTGTTGTTTAGTCTCCACATCTTTGTGCCTTTCTCAACTTTTTTCTTGTAATTAATTTCTAGCCTTATAGCACTATGATCTGAGAAGATGCTTGTTATTATTTCAATTTTTTTAAATTTGTAGAGGCTTGCCTTGTTTCCCAAAATATGGTCTATCCTAGAGAATGTTCCATGTGCACTTGAGAAGAATGTGTATTCAGCTCCTTCAGGGTGGAGTGATCTATATATGTCTACTAAGTCCAATTGTTTTAGTTTTTCATTCAGCTCCACTATTTCCTTGTTGATTTTCTGTCTGGATGATCTGTCCATTGATGTGAGTGGGGTGTTGAGGTCCCCTACTATTATTGTGTTGTTTTTAACATCTTCCTTTAGGTCTGTTAATGGTTGCTTTATGAATCTTGGTGCTCCTGTGTTGGGTGCATAGATATTTATAAGCGTTATTTCTTATTGATGAAGTGTCCCTTTGATCATTATATATTGTCCCTCTGTGTCTCTCTTTACCTGTCTTATTTTGAAATCCACTTGGTCTGATATGAGAATTGCAACACTTGCCTTTTTTTCCTTGCTATTTGCTTGAAGTATTGTCCTCCACCCCTTCACCCTGAGTCTGTGTTTGTCCTTGGGGCTGAGGTGTGTTTCCTGGAGGCAACAAATTGTTGGATCCTGTTCTTTAATCCATTTTGCCACTCTGTGTCTTTTTATTGGAGAGTTCAATCCATTCACATTGAGAGTGATTATTGATGCATGTGGACTTAATGCTGTCAATCTGTCACTCATTATCTTGTTTTCCTGTGTTTCTTTTCCTGTGTGCTTTAGACTATCCATTTAATACTGCAATTTCTTATGCTGGGTTTCTTAGATTTTTCCTTATCTATGATTTGTGACTCTGTTCTGTACTTTATTTTAGTGTCTACCTTGAAGTTTGTATTTAGAATCTCGTGTATAATATAGTCTATTCTCTGGTGGTCTCTTACTTACTCGACCAATACTGATTTAGACCCTTTGCTCTTCCCCTCCTAAATAATTATTTTCATTTTTTATTGCAACTCGTCTTATTAATTTGTAGTTAGAGTGCTAAGATCGCCCTTGTTTTGGTAGTTTCCTTATTTTTACCCTAATGCTATAGTTGAATATTTGCTATCCTGTTCTGGTTCTATCCATCGGTCTCCTTAGTCTGTGGATTGTGTCCCCTTTCTCCCTTTTTTCTTTTTTCAAGTATGAGAGCCTTCTTGAGGATTTCTTGTAATGGAGGGCTTTTAGTTACAAATTCCCTTAACTTTTGTTTGTCTGGAAAAGATTTAATTTCTCCCTCATATCTGAAGGAAATTCTTGCTGGATAGAGTATTCTTGGCTGTAGGTTTTTATCCTTTAAACCTTTGAATATATCACTCCATTCTCTCCTAGCTTGTAGGGTTTCTGTAGAGAAATCCGCTGACAGTCTGATAGGGGCTCCTTTATAGGTTATTCTCGTTTTTTTCCTTACTTCCCTGAGTATTCTTTCCTTATCATTCCTATTTGCCAACTTTACTATTATGTGCCTTGCGGTGGGTCTTTTTACATTGACAAATCTAGGAGATCTAAAACCCTCCTCTACACACATTTCTCTGTTGATCCCTAGATTTGGGAAGTTCTCTTCAATAATTTCGTTAAGCACACTTTCTGCTCCATTTTCCTTTTCCATATTCTCGGGAATTCCTATGATCCTTATGTTCTTACTCCTCATTGAATCCATTATCTCTTGGAGATTTTCCTCATTTTTTTTAATTCTTAGTTCTCTTTCTTCCTCTGTCTGGTGCCATTCAGCCTGTCTGTCCTCGATTATGCTGATTTGCTCCTCTAGGTTGTCTACATGAGCATTCAGGGAATCTGTATTCTGTTTTATCTGGTCCATTGTGTTTTTCATCTCAAGTAATTCTGTTTGATTCTTCTTTATGATTTCAATCTCTTTTGTGAAGTAACTCCAGAACTCGGCTTGTTTCTCTATCTTTCTCTCTACCTCATTGAGCTTTTTAATTATAGCTGCTCTGAATTCATTATCACTTAGTTTACCTAATTCCAAGTCCTCAGGACTTAATTCTGTGTCTTTACTGTTTTCCTTCTGGTCTGGGGCTTTTATAAATTGCTGGATGGTAGAGGAGCGGTTTTTTCTCATGGTGGTAGAATTCAGTTGCAGTTACAGCCTGTCGCCACTCGATGGGGGTCGAGAACGGCGTGTTAGCTCTCCGCCTTGGGGCAAGATGGCTGTGCCCACTGGCTTTGCTGGGGGGAGGAGCTGTTACTCACACGAGCAGGTCTGGGTTCAGATCAGTTCTGTTCTCTGGTCTCCCAAGGCCCTTGATTTATAAGGTCCCCGCGGACGGAACCTTTCCCCCCGTCAGCGGGTCTCCACTGAATCAGCGGCAGGAGTCCTGGATGATCCCTCGGTCACGTGGCCCCTCCCCCGCTCCTTCCCGACCCGCACCGCAGCGATCGCAGACTTTAGGGAAGGGAGCGATGTTCTCTCCTACCGGTCCGGCACCTCCAAAGGTGTAAAGCTAGGTTTATGATCTCCTCCTTCTTGGTATAGTAGGTCTCTGACGAGCTGGCATTATGTTTATTCTCTGAAATTCAGTTCTTCCAATCTTTTGTTGTATTTTTGAGGGGAGAGAATCCCGGGTCAGCTCACCCCACCATTTTGCTCCGCCCCCTCTCCCAGTTTGCTAATATTTTGTTCAGAATTTTTGCATCTATATTCATGGTGAAATTGACCTATCAGTTTCTTTCTTGTACTATCCTTGTCAAATTTTGATATTGAGGCTATGCTGGCATCATGAGTTGGGAAGTATTCACTTCTTCTATTCTTTAGAAGTACGCCTATAGGATTAGAATTATTTGTTCCTTCAATGCTCAAAAGTGACACACGACAATTTTACTCGCGTTATATTGGGCAAAGCATGTTACATCATCCCGCCTCACTTCAAGAGGGTGGAGAATTGCGATCAATCACCCAGTATTCCTGGAAAGAGAAGAGAAACAGCATATTCTTCCTCTTAACTCACTTTCTCTCTTTTTCTTTTTTTGGAGAACTGTGAAGGTTCTGAGACGGTAGCCTAATTGCACGCTATCAATTATCTTGCCACAATTTCATAGGTGATAGAAGAAGAATGAAACTCCTGGGTCATAGAGGAAGCACAATTTATTGCTCACATAAATAGCAGCAGCCAGAATATCAGCATTTTGCCCTAAAAGTGACACAATGTCCAGATGAGACCTGCACACACAGTGAGTTGCATTCCAGGACAGGAATCCTGGACTTAGAGACTCTGAATCCTTTACAGGGAACTTGACATACTGTCTCTATCTTCCAAGACTGCTTGCTATGCAAACATCCTTGAAAATAAGTCTGAAAAAAGGGAGAACTAGTGCCTCTACTTAAAAGAAATGCAGAAACATAAGGAGCCTATAGAGAATTCTCAACTGATTTTTCTTTAAAACCTATTTTTGTACCTAACATAGAGATTCATTATTCATTTTTATTGTGATTATAATTTACCAACATAAGGTAACTTCCTTTGCTCTACTTTTCTTCTCACTTTCATCCTTGATATTAATATTGCCACTAATTTTTTTGTTGTCTGTTTGCATATGACTGATACGGTTTTACTAAATACCTTTATTTTTAACCCTTACATGTCATTTTATTTGGGGTACATATCTGGTACGCAGCATATAGTTCATTCTTGATACAATATAAGGATAACTATCCTTTCCTAGAGAATTTTAATCTATTCAAATTTATGCATTGTGATATTTTTAATCTTGTTTTTCTCTTATATGCACTTCCTTCCTGTTAACTTTAAAAGAAAAACAAACTTTTACTTCACAAGAGTTCTCAAGTTTATTGTTGTTCCCTTTTTCTCTCCAGAAATGTGGAGCTTCTAATTCGATTTTCATTCAAAAGCAGTTGCTTTAAACTTTTAAACTAACTATTTGAATATTTGCTTTCCTACCTACGTATCTGTTGACCCTTCTCCTCTAAAAAGATTTGGCACAATTCATCCCTCTGAATCCTCCCACAGCAGGCATTTTATTGGAATAGTAAAGTTTTTTTTTTCATAGATTCAGATTTTTTTTTTACAGTGTAGATTTTTATTTGAGGAATTATTTTTGATCATTACATTGTTTGAAAACCATGCAAACTGATAATCATTTAGAAAGGATCTTGAGATTGTAGTGCTCCCTGCCATTTTTTATATAATATCACGCCCATACTTTACCTCCACGGTTTTGAGGTCAGCTGGAGTACGGAATGGCTACACATAGACTGATGATATGCTTTCTGCCTAACAATGTCTGTCTGTTGTCTTCACAGGTAAGAAAATCGCCTGGAAGTAAAATTCTTAGGTCAGTTTTTTTACCCTTGAAATTCAAAATCCTTCAATAGAAACGTTCCTCCCTTATCATCCGGCATTTAGCATTGGAGAAGAGAAATCTATGCTGTTGGGTTTTTTTTTCCCCTTGTGACTAATTTTTTCCCTCCAACTTGAATGCTTACAGAATTTGTTGAATATTCTTGAAATTCAGAAATGCCATCAGGTTGTGTCTATGTGTGTCTCTAAACTAATGTTCCTAGGACTTGTATATATATATACAATATATAGTTAAGGATATATGTCTTTTTAGCTTAGGGAAATTGGCTTTAAATCTCTCTTTGCTAATTGTTTCTCTTATTGTATTCCATTTTAGGCTTATGTTATTTCTAGTGTAGTCACCAAAAGCTTTTAAATTTATTACTTTTGCTCACCTACTTCATTTCTTTGTCCTTTTTCTCTGGATTATAAGGGACTCTCTTGAGCTAATCTACCAAATCCCTGTTTTAGCTTTAGCTTTCAAATACCAAATCTGCTGTTCGTTGCCGCCAATGTGTTGTGTTTTTTGTAATTTAGCAATTGCTTGTTTTATGTAATAGCAATTTTTCCCAAATCATTTTTTCCCCCAAAGGAGAAAAAGTGCTACCAATGTCCCTAACATGAATTAAGAGATTTGGTAAATGAACATCTATCATTCCTCAGAAGGGCCCATTTTTAAAATTTTGAATCTTTATATTTATGGTGACTATTCTTCATCAGCTTGTTGTTACAATATTGGGATACAAAATTGTGTTCTGTTATATTGTTTAGGCCTTTATTCACATAACACAGTTCTCACAGAGGAGAAAGAAGGAAACATTTTCTGTAGTTTCATCTGTTAGTGGGCCCTGGGACGTATGCTCATCAGGTCATAAACTAGAGGACTGCAGCTACTATGAATGAAGGGGAACTTAGCTGCTTACCTAGTTGTTGATTTCCAGCATCCTGGAGTTAGGATTCTAGTACGTAGCAACCTGACTGTTGCCCTACTCACTGCTCCCTAGCCTGCCACCTCCTCCCGCCCCTTCTGCTGTGGATTTTTGGATACCTGTGTAAATTGAAAACTGTAGTTCTGGTGGGATGGAAAAAGTTTACCAGAATAGTTGACTTTATTAGGGAGAGTCTCTCTGCTGTTGAGCTGTCTTTCCCGCTTTGTGGTTATTCTCCCGGTCCTGAATTAAGGTGCTGCCCCCTTTCATATATGATGCAATTGTTCTGGTTTGTCCACCCCCATCAGTTGTATTCCACAAGTCTTCCATTACTATAGGGAAATGCTATCTACTAGTCAGTTGATTCACCCCTAGAGCAAGAGAGGAATTCTCAACTTCCCTTATTTGCCCCTCTCTGACTATTTCCCCCTCACTGTCTGCCACCCAGCCCTTCCTTCTCTGAACTAGGAGATTCTCCTGAACTGCCTAGTGAAAATCTGGTTATTTACATTCCAGTGTAAACACACTTCTCTCTGTGTTAAATTGTTATCAGTGATCAGAATGGTCCCCAATCAATTCTCATCTGTAATTTATTGTTTAGAAAGTTCCCAGAACATCCGAATTGTCCACGTTAACTTGAAAATAACAGCAGCTTATAGCACTTCCCTCCTCGATGTTTAGTTCCTTAAAAGTAATCGCCATGTGCCATGCTTTTGCCAAGTAAAAAAACTGTAGACATCCTAGAAAACAAGTTGTTAAAATGTTGGCAAATATTTATGTAGAATAAATATTAACATTTAGATTGAATTCCTTGATCACTAAACTTGACAGAACAGCTTCATTAATTGGTGATTGGAATTAGAAGAAAAGTTATATATATCTCCGTATGTACACTCTATACATGTATATATACACGAACATATATAATTCTGGGGGGGGGGGGGTGTGAAATAGTGCTACTTGAATTACAGATCTACACTTTTAATTCTCTCTTGCTGGATATATTCTATTTAGCCATCCAGATCCACTCTGCCCCTTATTTCTGCTCTCTGTCCCAAAGCTGTATGAATTATGTCAACAGACTTCTATTTCTTCTGCTTTCCTTTTGGGTTCTGCCAGTGGGAAACCCAAGCAGGAGACTAGGCTGGCTGTTCCAGTAGGAGTTGGTCACTGATCCTCTCAATCATCTTCTTTACACTCCCTTTCTCTGTTCCTATACCTCTCCCCTCCCAGGTTCATTTAAGACTAGGGGTAGAGATGGCTTATCCAGCACCAACCCTGGGTCCGTGCCCTATTTCTTTAGTTTCCCAACACACTGCCCACACTTTATAAGTCCCTTGTAAATAAACTCTTCTTGAATTTTCCTGTTTTGAGGGCACCATTTCCTATTAAGACTGACTCACACACCCTTGTTTATCATTGTAGATCCCTGATATGCATGTGGTCAAGGTTATTCCTTTGGTTTATTGGGGAAAGGGATTGTTATCGTTTACTCGACCAAGTTTATTCTTCCTATGGAGTTTCATCATTGCCCTACTGGGAGTTTTTCTCCCATGGGATAAAAGATAGTTCTACTGTTGACCCTGTTTTCCAGCATGGAATGCACTTGTTTATTTGTTTATAAACAGTTTCAGTTATTTTATTGGGATTTGAGAAGGATGGAAGGTGAAAGTAGAAGATAAAAAGTGAAGATTCAAATCCCCATATTAAAACCTAGCATCTTTTATGCTACCTGTAAAGATTTTCAAGACGGAGAATTCTATATTTCCTCCCATCCATATACTGACTATTCCCCTATAACTGCATTTTATCTAAAATAAATTTCTTGAGCTGAAAATTAAACCTACCTTTTGTTTGTCTATTGATTTTAATTATAATGCACTTGAAATTTTAAAAAATTTTAATGTGAAAATATGTAAAAATAAAATGTTCACTTTCCTTTAAAACATTAATTTCAGTAACAAAATTATATCTCAATTTAATACTGTTTAACAATAAAGCATTTATATAGGGATGTTTCCTCTTCACACTACTTATGATATTATGAAAGACAATTAAAATCAATAAAAAGATAAAATTCTATTTCCACATTGTGTGATCTCTGTATTACTCTGTTAGCAGTAAACAAAAATGTGGATCATCAAACAAATGCCCCCGGGTCTTCTAAGGACTGGGCCCCTGGGCTTTTATAATCTTAGGTGTTGTTTCTGGGTGATATTTCTTCCTGATCGCATCTATTTCACCGTCAGGTATACATGAAGCCAGCAGTGGAATTTGAGAAAAATAGTTCTTAGCCAGGATATGCTTGTGTTTGATCTTGTGAATAAACAAGGGTTCATATCCCTGAAAAGAAAAGAAAATCAAATCAAATTCTATTAAAAGTCACAGATATATTTTGCCAAGTAAAAACACTTTCATGCCTCCATGCCTTTGCTCATCAGTTCTTTCAGCCAGAATACATTTCTCCCACTTTGTCTCTCACCCTTTGGGGCTCAGTTCCTCTGACGCTTTAACCTGGAAACTTTTCCTGATTCTCCATGTGACCTCTCTGAGTCCAAACTAACCCCTCCTTCTTCCGTACTTGCAAGCATTTTTATGTATTTTAATTGTAATGTTTAGTTCATTCTGCCTTAAATTTCACTATCTTCTTGAGAGTCTCTTCCATGATAAGGAAAGCTCCTTGAAGACTCAAACTGGGTCTTTTTCATATATGTGTCTCTTGGCACCATAAGGAAGATACTCAATCGATATTTTTGAATGAATGTACTTGTCACTTTGGTTCTCTTTAAATCTGTTTTAATACTGATGCAATTACCAATTTGAATTTTTTTTCTAAAATTGGTCCTTCCCTCCATTTCTCCAGAGTTCAAGATAAAGATCACAGTGGTGTTGTGACAACAAAACTTCTCTTTGGTCACCTTCTTACTACCTTAGATTCCCACATTGTAAGTCCCTGCACTGTTTTCTCTTCTCTTCTTAACAGAAAATAACCTTCCTGCCTTTATCAAGTCTTCATGCCTTTCCATTTCATTTGTTCTTAATTAATTTTTAGGCTTCTTGTCTCGCCACAGCTATAACAGTACTTGGAACTTTCTCTGTTACGTAGCATTGCGACATTATAAAATCATCTGTTTTCTACTAAGAGTGGCAGAGTGCTAGTTACCAATCCAATATTCATTCTCTCTTCCATTCACGTTTAGAGGCCTGATTTTGTATAGGGCACAGATTTTGTATTTTGTGACATGCTCAGCTTTCCTCACTTTTATTCTAGCTAGAGGTGGCTATGTGACAAGTTTCTGGCCATATACATACATACATATATATAACAGAAGTCATTGGATAAAGCTTACAGGAAAGCTTTTTGAAAGTGAGACGACTCACCTTGACAGGTGCTTGACAGCACCTTTTGGTGTTTGTCATACCTGGGAGGTAGATAGAATGCAGGAGATGAAGCAGCTATTTTATCTCTAAGAGTCCACAAATGTGAGGATGAAAGCCAAAGGTTAAATACGGCTGAGGGAAAAGTTAGGGGGCCTGGGTTTCTGAGAGCATTATGGAGCTACCCTACTGGCCCCATACTGCCAACCTCTGGACTTCTTGTTATATAAGGAAACTAAACCCACATTTGGTGAAGTCATTATAAACTACTTAGTCTGTGATTTTCTGCTCAACTTGAATGCACCTGAAACATGAAAATTGTGTTCATTACATTTCCTTGTTTTTCTCAAGAACTTAGCCGAGTATCTGGCACACTCAAAAGTAAATTCTGGTTGAATTAATAAATACCATCTATTCTGTTTATTAATCTTAATTGACCCTTCTTTTCAACCAAATCACAAATACTTTTACCTCCTCCTAAAAGTTGTTTTCTAAAAGTAAGACATCCCCTCACTAAAGATCCCTCATAGTGTCGAATCAAAGGTAAAGAAAACCCTGGAGAAAAGCAGTCAAAGGATATGATATTCTCGCAGAAAGGATTACGTAGGAGTATCCTGGGATTATTTTAAAGTTTCTTCTCTATAGACAAATTTACCAGGTCAAATACTCACCCTTTGCACTAATCTAACTTTGTTTCACCATTTCTTAACCCATATTTCGTTGAAAAAAAACTAACATATTCCTGCTATGCAACATTAAATTATACATATACAAGACTTTAAAAGTTTTCAAAGCGTCTTTACAGAACCCAAAAGTAACCATTAAAGATGAGATAAGCATATCATGGTACATACAGTCAAAGGAACAAGAAGCAAGTCTTAAAGAATAATATAATATGGAAAGATATCCAGCATCTATTATCCCCTTTTGTATATTATTCCCTTTTTATAGATGAGAAAACCAGGTCACTGAGACATTGATAAACTTGCTCACCTTCTCCCAGCTCATAAGTGACAGAGCCAGAATTCAAAGTCAGGGTTGCTCTGATCCTCTATACTGCTTCCATGTTTTCAGCTAAGTTTTATAAAAATGCATGAAGCAAAGAGGTCAGGTCTTACCGTCCTGCAGGTTGTTAGTGATCGAAATGGGGAAACACTGGGTCAGGCCCCTGACTTTAAACCCACTATTGTTCCTACTTTGGCCAATGTGCACACCATGAAAAATTGATCTGCCTCATTTATAGTTCAGAGAACACAAGTCTTTTTCCAGGCTTTTCCTATAACTTGTGCATGATTGCAGGGAGTCAAGATTATTTTAATTTTTGAGTATGCTTTTACAAACTGAGAAAGCAAATATCTCTGTGCATTAGGGAAATTCTGGAAATGCTTTAACTTGCTGCAAGACATAAACTCTTCTTTAACGAGGCTGAATATTAATACTTAAAAGATGACACTAGCCCAAAACCATAAAAAAGGCCATTTTGTCTTAGTTTGTCTGGTTGAGAACTTTAGCTCTATTTACAGAGATTCAGTAAAGTCGGCATCCTGAAATTAGGAATGCATGTGAATAGAACATTTAATTTGAGACTGGAGTAACTTGATTAAATACACAAAGGGAGTTGTGTGGATTAATTGAAGAAGCAGTGGAATATCAGCTTTGGGAATGAACTTCAGTCCCACTATGGGTCCTGGATGAAATGATATTGCTAGTATTGGCTAGGCTTCCAGTGATGAAATATTTATGAGGCAGCTTAGCTTACTAAATATAATATTTAACATAGCTTCAATTTCTTGCTGCCCTTTCTTGCAATCCCTCGAGTGAAATTTTTCTTAGCCTGGCTTCTACTGGAAAATTATTCAAAACAACTAAAAATTTAACTAGTTTTTCCCCTTTACACCTTCCCCCTGCCCAGTAAAAACACAGGCAGGGAATAGCACTATTCAAAATGACGATTTGAAGTCATTTCTTTCTTTTCTCTTAACTGACATCTTGCATGGAATTTAAAGGTAGAGCAATTTAATCAATAGAAGGCAGAGAATCAGTAACAGCTCTTGGGATCCTGGGCTTGCTTGGTATAAATGGAGTTCTCTGGGAACTCACCAGGGAAGCCTCAATTCTGTTCATCAAAATGTTCTCAAGATTGCATCTTGTAAGTTACTGAAATTAAATGGTATTCAATTTTAGCATTTTTTTCCCCACCCCTAGTTATTTGGAAGCAAATGAAAAATGGAGCCTCGGAACTATACCCCATCGGTATGACTGCCATCTAGAGCACAAAATTTATTTGAGAATTTAGTGTGCTAATAGGCAGACTCATGATGACTAATCAAAGGACGGATTCTATGTTCCAAAATACCTATCTGGTGTTAATATTCATTTATTCTTTCAACAAATACTTATTAAACCCCTAGTCTGTGACAGGAACTGCTGCAGGTATTGGAGATATAGACATCAACAAGCTAAATGAAGTCCCTCCTCTCATGGAACGTGATGTGGAACTAACCCGCTTGAACTTGCTATCATTAGGAGAGAATGGTGTCACGTTCAGGGACTTGGAAGACCTTCAGATCTCTTATCTTTCCTTTTTATGTGCCTTAGTTTCCTTTTAATTTTAATCTCCGCCATACATACCATTCACATATTTTGTTAGTGGTATCCACGGATTCTCTATTAATCCAACGGGAGTATTTAAATTATGCATGGAATGTATTAAAAGGTAGTCAAATTCTTGCTATTAATTCCAATGATTAAATTAATTTCCCAGACAAATTTTGACTTTCTTACCTGTTCAATACTTGTTAGCCTGAGATGAGCAGCACCTTCATCTTTGGTAAGAAGAATGCAGTTCCAGGGGGACCACTCCAAGGACTTATCCCACCGGACCATGACCAGATCATTGAGATTGGTCCAGGCACTGAGGACTGACTGGGACGCCCAGATGTTCTCGGTCAGGTACTGAATATCTTGTAGCTGCATGTCAAAACAAGTTTCAAAAATAATGTTTTCTTCTAAACATAAAATTTCTTTAAGATCATTACATTACTTGAGGAAATATATTGAGTATATTTTTTAAACAGAAACATTATTTCTGAGGTTTTCAGAGGAACATAGCTCCTTATTTTTCACCAAATTTCTGCCCAATCTTCGTGGCATTCTGCCCAAACAATGTTACCAGTCTCACAGTCATGACTGCGTCTTTACCGCAGAGTAAGCTGTATATGTTTCTTCCAGTACGATCATTTTACCTTACATTTATACAGTATTCAGTACTTTTCAAAATTTATTAGTAAGGATCATCTTATCCTCAGGGTTATTGTTGGTCATTTTATTCCATTTTACAAATGAGGAGATTGAAATTTAATAAAGAGTGAGCAATTTGCTTAACGTTATTAAAAAGACTTGTTTTAATGACAAAAGAGGGAAAGGCAGGAAATGAAATAGTTGTTTAAAAACTTTTTTTATTTAAACCATATTAGCTAAAACTCTTGAAATGACTTTTTATTACAAAGTCTGCATATATAAACTTAAAATGGCCAGAAAGGAAGCGTCACAAAATACAAGCAGAGAAAAAAGAACCATTATTTTAAAAGGTTTGGGTGGGAAAGCAGGAATTTTGTCCGTAAAATCAGAGGAAAAATTTCATCCTTGATTGGCAACCCTTACTGATCATACCTGCATCAGGAAAGCAATTTTAGAATCATCTTCATAATCAGCTTCTGAATAGTAGAGCCGTTGAAGCAAACATTTGTATTTCAGAAATGACTCCCGTTGTCGAGTCTCGTTGTCAAGGTTAATGCAGTGACGGCAGCGGTATATGCGTTGTGAAGTGGATGATACAGCAAACTCAGTAGAAGGCAAATAGAGCTGGCAACTGTGGCAAAAGTAAATCTTCTTATAAAACTTCATTGGGTCTTGAGGGGCCTTATTAGTTAAAAATAAAAAAAAAAAAAGGAAAGAAAGGTATAAAAGTCAGGCCAAATACTACCCAAGAGAAGCTAACCAACAGAACAAATACTAAACAACTTATCGCAGAATGAGATAAAAAGTTCGTTAAGTTCTAAAGTCATATTTTTCCCTTACCTTCCTATTCTATACAAAATTTAAATTTTAAGCAGTATTCCTTTACCTTGCCAAAATATTAAAAATCTCTATTATTCATCAACCTTCAGATACATGTGGTAAAATCACCTAGAAAATTGACTGAAAAGAATTAGTAGGTAGAGGCTTTGGGTTGCAAAGCAGTAAGAAAACTCTCCAAGTGCTTTGGTATTTATTTTTAAGAAGAATTTATATTTTTGGTGCTATGCTACATTAATTATTCTTACAGGCAATAGCTAGCTTCACATATAAATAAAAGTCCACTGAACCAAATGTTGTTCTTATTTCATTCATCTTAACAATAAATTTGGATTGGCTCATGATCAGTTTTCAAAACTTGAAACTTTTCATCATACGGTAGTTCTATTTTTAATTTTTTGAGAAACCTCCATACTGTTTTCCACAATGGTGGTACCAATTAACATTTCCACATAGTGCATAACGATTCCCTTTTTTCCACATCCTCACCAATACTTGCTACCTTTTGTCTTTTTGATAAAAGCCATTCTAACCCTTGTGAGGTGTTATCTTATTGTGGGTGTTTTTGGTAAAGACTGGCACCTGAGCTAACATCTGATACCAATCTTTTTTTAATTTATTTTTCTTCTTCTCCCCCAAACCCCTCAGTACATAATTGTATATTCTAGTTGTAGGTCTTTCTGGTTGTGCTGTGTGGGACACCACCTCAGCATGGCTTGATGAGGGGTGCTACGTTCCCGCCCAGGATCCAAACTGGCAAAACGTTGGACTGCCAAAGTGGAGCACATGAACTTAACCACTGGACCACTGGGCTGGCCCCATCTCACTGTGGTTTTGATTTGCATTTCCCTGACGATTAGTGATATTGAGCACTTTTTCATGTACATGTTGGCCTTCTGTATGTCTTCTTTTGGAAAATGTTTATTCAGGCCCTTTCCCATTTTTAAATTGGGTTAAAATTGCTTTTGAGTTGTATGAGTTCCTTGTAATTTTTTAGATATTAACCTAACAGATACATGGTTTGCAAGTATTTTCTCCCATTCTGTATACTGTCTTTCATTTTGTTGATTGTTCCCTTTGCTGTGCAGAAGCTTTTTAGTTTGATGCAATCCTCTTTGTCTATTTTTGCCTTTGTTGCCTTTGCTTTTGGTGTCATGACCAAAAACTCCTTGCCAAGACCAATATAAAGAAGCTCTTTCTCTGTTTTTTTCTAGTAGTTTTACAGTTTTAGGTCTTTCATTTAAGTCTTCAATCCCTTTTCAGTTGATTTTTGTATGTAGTGTGAGATAGGGCTCCGATTTCATCTTTTTGCATGTGGCTGTCCAGTTTTCCAAACACCATTTATTGAACAGACTATCCTTTCTCCATTGTATATTCTTGGCTCTTTTGTCAAATATTAGCTGGCCATATATGTGTGGGTTTATTTCTAGACTCTCTATTCTGTTCCATTGATCTATGTGTCTCTTTTTATGCCAGTACCATGCTGTTGTGATTACTATGGCTTTGTAATATAGTTTGAAATCAGGAAGCACGATGCCTCTTTGTTCTTCTTTCTAAAGGTTGCTTTGGCTACTCAGGGCCTTCTGTGGTTCCATATAAATTTTAAGTTTTTTTTTTCTATTTCTATGAAAAATGGTATTAGAATTTTGATACGGATTGCATTAAATCTGTAGATCAGTTTGGGTAGTATGGACATTTTAGCAATATTAACTCTTCCAAGAAGATTTCTTAAATACAAAAAAAACCCCAAAAAACCACCAAAAGCATGATCCGTTTTAAAAATTGATAAGTTTAACTTCATCAAAATCAAAAACTTCTGCTCTATAAAAGATACTGTTAAGAGAATGAAAAGACAAGCCACAGACTGAGAGAAAATATTTGTAAATCATATATCTTAAAAAGGATTTACAGGTTAAACATAAAAAGAATTCTCAAAACTCAATAATGGGAAAATAGCCCAACTAAAAAAAGGGGTAGAGAGTGTGTTGGTAAAAGACAAGTGCAGGCACTTCACCAAAAAGATATATGGATGGTAAAAAAGTGCATGAAAAGATGCTTAATATTATTAGTCATTAGGAAAATGCAGATTAAAATATAATGGGATACTACTACACACCTAACAGAATTCCAAAATTAAAATAAAAACTGACAATACAACGTGACAAAGATTCAGAGCAGCTGGAATTCTCACACATTGCAGATGGGGATGCGACATGGTACAGCCAGTTTGGAAAAAAAGTTTGGCAGTGTCTTACAGAGGTAAATACACATTTATCATATAACTAAACTGCTCCACTTCCAATGTATTTAATGCAAAACAATCAATTTACACAAAAATGCACAATGAAGTGTTTGTAGCAACTTTATTCACAAAAGCCCAAAACTCTAAACAACTCAATGTCCTTCAACCATGAATGCATAAACAAACTCCGGTACATCCAGACCATAAAAATATTTCTCAGTTATAACAACAAACTACTGATACACTCAAGAACGTGGGTGAATCTCAAATGCAATATGCTAAATGAAGACTACATTATGGCCTCAAAAGACTACATACAGAATGATTCCATTTATCTGACATTCTGGGTTAGGTAAAACTATAGAAATAAGACGCAGGTCAGTGTTTGCCAAAGGGTTTGGGAGCCAGGGGAAGGGGTGATTACAAAGTAACGAGAATCTGGGGGAGTTGATAAGACTATTTTTTATCTTGATTGTGCTGTTGGTTACATGACTCTCTGTATGTATCAAAACTGACCAAAAATAGTGAATTTTACCAAAGGTAAATTTAAAAAGTGAATAAAATCGTATAATGTTATGTGAACGTGTAGAATATGAAATTCTATTATATTACTGCAAACATAAGAACTGAATAAGTCTATAGAAAAGGACTAGAGGGTAGCTGGGACAAATGAAATATTGATTTGAATAAGAAATAATATAATGGACAACTTAATATTCTCTTGCAATACAATTAAGTTTAAAAAATTCACTAAAAAAGAAAAAATATAAAAATTAAACAATTTTTATTTTTCTATAAGTTTTGACTAAATACTGAGATTTTGTTTATGTCAAAAAAGCAAAATAGATGCTTAGTCAGCCTCTTAAAAATTATAATTCTAAAAATAATCATTGGAATAAAACACTATTTAGAATTCTTTAGTAAACTTCCCCAAAACTTTACTAAAAATGTTTTAAATAGTTCTGCACAGTGAGAAGGCAATAAGGCGCTTATCTTGACCTTAGAGAGCAAAATCTCCACAGAAGCCTAAGCATGTTGGAGTGGGTGAAGGTAGTTTAGTTCAAATACATGTTACTTTTGAAATTCTCTCAGGATATCTACATGGGTCTGTTGAGTAATAAATATAACCATGTGGTAAGTATCATAAAGGAACACAAATGAGGTGCATGTAGGATCTCAGAATGAAGAGTTTACCTGTCTTTGCGGTCTTGTGAAGGAGAGGACATGTAATTTGAGTCTTAGGAAATGAACAGGAGTTCGCTGGGTAAAGCTAGGGGACAGTATTCCAGATAGAAGCAACAGTACGTGAGTACGTGCAAAAGCACGATGGTGTGAGAGATCATGACACATTCAACATAGTGCAATACTAAACTGAAAATTTGGCTCAGAGATGAGGAAAGAATTCAAGGTTGGAAATACAGACACAGAAAAAGTTAAGTGAGTAAGTTTAATTTATCAACATAAAAAATAATCATTCAAAGGAGATTTCCACCAATAAGATGGTCTTCCACTTGGACCCCAAGTAAAGTATTAAAAGAAAATATGAATATACTTCAATTTACTATAGCACATACTAGAATTTTGAGAAAGAAGTTCGAGAAAAAAAAGTAGAGTACCTTAAGGTGTCTTGCAACTTCTGGATTAAACAGAGGCGTTTTGATGTAATGAAAAAAGAGTGTTGCAATTCTTTTCCTGAGTCCTTCAAGGTTTTGATGTTTGACTCCTCTCATCATAAGGTCAACCTCTCTGTCAATCAATTCTAAAATTTCCTGAGTCAGTTTACAGTCATGTTCCTATATAAAATACAAAAATATTCAGTATAGAATTTTAAAAATTACTAAGTTTGGGGGCCAGACCCATGGCTGAGTGGTTAACTTCATGCGCTCCGCTTTGGCAGCCCAGGGTTTCACCAGTTTGGATCCTTGGCATGGACCTAGCACTGCTCATCAAGCCATGGTGAGGCAGAATCCCACATAGCAGAGCCAGAAGGACCCATAACTAGAAGAAGTAAGTATACAATGGGGGGGGGGGGGGTGGGATTTAGGGAGAAAAAAAAAAGGAAGATTGGCAACAGATGTTAGCTCAGGGACAATCTTTAAAAAAAAAAAAAACTACTAAGTTAGTTTTTTAAATTATCACCCAAACAAACTGAAAACTAGACTCCAGCATAAATGAAACATCACTGATAGGAGTAAAAATTGGCAAAACTAACTTGGAAAAAAATTAGATTTATCTAGTAATTGTCTAGCACAGTTTAAGATATGCATAGTCTACAACCCAGCCATTCTATGCTTAAGTGCTTTATAGAAATGTGCACGTGGAGTCATTGTTCACATAGCCCCAAATCAGAAACAACCGAATATCCATAAATGAGTTGATTACACAAATAAGTGATGGCTTATGCATACATAGGAATATTATCTAATGTATGGAAATGAATGAACTACAGCTACACACAATAACAAGCTTAAATCTTACAAATTACTGTTGGGCAAAAGAAGCAAGGCACCAAAATAATACATACAGTATCATTCCATTTAAATGAAATCCAGAATAAGCAACACTACGCCATATTATTTAGAATGTGTACAGAGGTGGTACACTACGAAGAAAAATCAAGGAAATGACTACCATGAAAGTCAGTATGGTAGTTCCAGGGGAGGAGAGGGAGAATTGCCATTACGAAGTGGGACACCAGCAATGTTCGCAATATCCTGTTTGGGGGCCAAAGGGTGGTTACGTGGTTGGTAGCTTTGTATTTACTAAACTGCACATATATATTTTATATATATTTTCTGCATGTTTATATAATTCACAATAATTTTTAATAAAGTAGCAGAAACAAGTGTGGTTGAATAAGAAAGCCCAGGTAAGAGCTAGGTTATTAAGGTAAAAGGATTTATAAGTAGCAAAATAGAAGTTACTATAACTGCCCAACAGAGGACCACAACAAACACAGTTTGAATGAAAGAGTCAGAAGGTAAAGTCAGTCACTAAAATAATGCTCTTCTGTACTTTTTAATACATACTTGTTATAGCTAATTCAAGAGTCTGCATCAGTGGTCCTTGACCCCGAAGGCCAATAAGAAGGACATGAGGGAGATTTTAACATTGCCCTCACAGTTGAGGATCTAATTTAAATGCTCTGAAATGGGGCCTAGAAAACATTCCTCTACATTTATTTTCATATTCTCTCTCTCTCACCCTGTATGTCTGTCTGTCTCTCTCTCTTTCAAGCTCTCTAGATAATTCTACCTGTACTCAGGTTTAAGATTCTCTAGTCTGTATTATTAATTGTCATCAAAATGATATCTCTTATTGAGGGCTCCCTGTTTGTAAGCACTGAGACATATAGATTATATTTTTTAATTTATATTTTATATATACTTATACATGTACATATATACACATACATATATATTTATACCCTCAAAGCAACTAATTTTACAAATGGTGAAACTGCTTTTCAGAAATATTAAATAACTTATCTAAGGTTGCACAGCCATAAATGAATAGAGCCAGAATTTGAGTAATGCTTAAAGGCCTTATCTCCTACCAAAGTATTGTTAAATAAATGTACATGTGACTATATTAGGTTAAACATATTGTTTAAGATATGCACAATTTATCTTTTATGAGCCATCCTTTGGCTTTTAAATTAACCACCTAGTGGTCCTAATTATGTCAGGTAAGAGCATTTCTACTGTATTCCCTACCTGCACTCTCTTTTTTCCAATCTGCTCTTTTTACTGCCCTCTACAGATACCAAGTTTACTTCCTACCTCTGGATCTACCACTTCTCCCTCTTCCTATCTATCTTTATCTTCCAAGGCTAGTTACCACACAAATACCTTTGAAGAGGTAGTCCAGAACAAAGGCAGTCAATGCCTCTGTTCTCAAGATAGGCAGAAATGTGCGAGACCTATGGAGACTCACCTCTCAACAAGAACCATTTACTCAACTATTTAATATGCCTTAAGAATTTTGTGTGTCTTGTCTTGTTTCTTCTCGACAGAAGAACTTAGGAGGCAAAGAACCCACATGAAGTATCTAATAGCTATACTTGAGAAATTCTTAGATTGAAATCACATGGCTCACTTAGATGGATCTAAATATGGCTGACATTTTTTCAGTTGTTATTTATAGTGAACCACTGATTATCATTTGAGTATTTATACCTATATGCTCTGGCAATTTGGGTCTACTGATGATCAAAACAGACTGACCATGCAGAGTTACCCAATCCATTGCCTATGTACAAGCTTTGAAATAGTTCATACAAATGACAGCTCAGAGACAACTTATATCTCTATGCCATAAACTGAAGGAGGCATCTGGTAACTATCTTATAAATGTAGAGAATTCAAAGTCATTTTTCAGAAGCCAAATATTTTTAGATGAAATACTGATTTAATTTATTTATATTGACAATTACAAATGCTCGATGTTACCTTCAATTTGAGCTATTTATAAAACACAAGAGTTTTACCAACGGCCCTAATGGTACTTAGGTTTTCCCCTTTCATTAGGAATATAGAAAACAAATCCATTGTAGTGAATCCTGTGACGTGGTGCCCAGACTACCCCTGCTTCAGAACTGAAGCACGAGGTCTCCCAGCTGCTGATAGGGTTGGCAGCTGGCAACTGTTAGCTGAGCCTCTCTCTGGATTGCCGTCAGCTGAAGAAAGCTATCTTGGCTGAAAATTGCTGGTATGTGGGAACAAAAAATAAATGGAGTCCTGATCCAGGTCCAGCTCACAATATGTCCACTGGGTTCTCAGATCCACCCAGTACTCATTTTCCTGGTCCTTGAACATATCATTGGAATGGAATACCTGGTAGTCGACGCAAGCCCCTTACCCTTGATTTCTTGATCCGTGGGGTAAGAGCTAACATGATGTGGAAGACCAACTTGAAGCCCCTGAAACTGCCCTACTCTGGAAACCAAGGTGGCGGAAGTAGAAATGGACCCATTTATTACTTGGGGAATTTCTGCATCCTGTCCCTGCAACTCTGGGCCCTTCAAGTTCAGAGGTCCTAATTCCTGGAGGGAAAATGCTTCTACCAGAGGATAGAGCAAGAGTCCTATTAAATTTTAAGCTACAGCTAATGCCTGGGCTCCTTAGGCCAAAAGACCTGGGGCTAAGGGAAGTGTCATATGCCTGTAGAGTTAATTGACCCTGATCTCTGAAAGGCAGTAGGGCTGTTACTACCGAATGGAGACAGGGAAGAATATGTTTGGCACCAAGGTAATGGGAATTTCTTGCTATATTCTTGCCCAATTTTGACAGTAAATGGAAGTCTAGTAGCCTCAGCCTGAGAAGAGCATAGTGATCAGTGGTCCAGACCTCTCAAGGGGTGGGTCATCCCTACAGGTGAGGGTGAGGAAATCTAAAATGGGTAGGAGAGGAAAGAGAATGAGTATCTGTTGCAGCCTTAAAAACAGTGACAACATTAGAGGGCTGTAGTTATTTCACCAACCTTGCACTTGTAATTTTCCCCAGGACAAAAGAGCCTATCCAAATCTGGAGGAGCTGCTCTCAAACCTCAGAATATGAAGCTAGTGGGTCCAAGCAGCAGTATGTGTCATGTATGCTGTGTCCAGACGGGAAGTACTCATTCTCCCACTCCTGTGCACTGTTGGCTGACACTCTCAACTCAGTCCCTTTCTGAGAACTGCTTTGTGGTAAAGAGAGATGCCTCACCCAAAGTCACATCTCCTTCCCAGGGGGCAGCCCACAACCAATAAATGGTCAATGTGGGAGTAAAATCTCCTGGCCCCTTGCCTCAATTCAGGACAACTCAAAAGGGCCTTCCCAGTTTCAGAGATCCCTGTGAGATTGGCTGAAATCATTGATGAGTTACATTTCTCCATCTGACCAAGCCTGTTATCTATTTCCTCACAGGTGTACTCTCCGATAAACTCCTGCACACTAATTTCCATCTCAGACACTGCGTCTTGGGAACTTGACCTGGGACACCCATTTCATTTTCATTAAAAGCAAGACTAAAAACAGAAAATCAATAATGAATGAGAAAAAAAGACAAAAATACGTACACTGATGCTGCTTTAAAACTGCTAAAAATAAAATTTTCATTGAAAAGTGTCAGAGTATATAGGCAATAGGTACTGTTTTATTGAACTGAGCTGAGTATTAATCTTATGCTATATATTTGCACCCATTGCATAGAAGGGATATATTTGCATTTAGAATATTCATTGTGCTATAGTTTCATTTACTATGTGTCGTAATATATAGTTAGAGAAATTTTTGATAAATATTAATGCATAAACCACATCCTCCCAAAATTATACCAAAATAACATAGTTGTTGACAAAATAAAATTCATATATATAAATATTTATCTTTATAATGGCTTAATACAAAACATCTTGCTGATTTTAGTATTCAGTTTCTTTTATTGATAGTGATACCCCCAAGCTAAGAGAAAGTTAACATACCTTCACAGTGTGTTTAAGTGTCAAGAGTACATCCAGCCTCTCATCTTGAGAGATACTTTTCAGCATAATGCATTTATAGATGTTCTGCAGTTCTCGGGCTCTGATGGTAAACTGTGTATCCATTTCCATCATTTTGCCATCAAATGTTCTCCACATCTTTGGAGCTGAACACTTAAAAATAACATTATGTTTACAATTATCAGTTAATTAAAGGCTAAAAAATAATTTTGTTCCTTCTACTAAAAGCTAACCTTAATAGCATGTGCTTTGTGAATAAAAGTATCACTAAAACTTAAGAAAATTCATTGAAGAATTTGTAGACCATGGGAAAGTAAAACATTTTAGAGAAAAATCTGAGAGAGTTGTTCAGGTTGCAGAAGTGCAAACACTTCTACAAGATTCAGAATTTTCTACTAATTTGTACTAACTAGTATGTTGAATGGCTCGATGGGTATATAGAGTAACTCATTACCTGCCTGGCAAAAAGCATTAGCATTAGAATGCTAAAAAAAAATTATCTGCTTGGTTTAATTATATTCAGTTGTATAAATGTGTCTTGATCATGCCTTGCCAATGGAAGACAATCTGTGTAGACCAATTGTTACAATTCTCAATGTATTAGAGCTAAACGTAGCAGAAAGAACCTCTGTGAGATATGGCTTTGTTTCCTCTAAAGATAAATCTACAGCAAGTTCACAGTTCTTCACAAAGCAGATGTCCACAGCGACATTTATGGCACTCGCAACAATTTAAATCTTAGATTTGATATAATTTAAAGTTTAGATAGAAGTCCATGTATTTGAACAAGTCATCAGGAATATCGACTAGCCAAATAGAGAAATAACATAAAGCTGTATTTAGTATGACAGCATTATGAGGAATTTTTAGTTATAGCGTCAATTTACCTTTAATTTTTTTATGTTTCATATTAGCTAAATTACATTGAGAACTACAAAGTTATCTTCTAAAAACAACTGTTTAATATATTTTCAAAGTAATGGTACCATTTTCTGATCAAAGCCAAAATGCATGTTGTTCAGAGTTAGGAATCTTCATTAGAAACTTTAGATTCTCAGTTTTAGGTTTTTTGTTTGTTTGTTTGTTTTTTAAAGATTTTATTTTTTTTCCTTTTTCTCCCCAAAGCCCCCCGGTACATAGTTGTATATTCTCCGTTGTGGGTCCTTCCAGTTGTGGCATGTGGGACGCTGCCTCAGCGCGGTTCGATGAGCAGTGCCATGTCCGCGCCCAGGATTCGAACCAACGAAACACTGGGCCGCCTGCAGCGGAGCGCGCGAACTTAACCGCTCGGCCACGGGGCCAGCCCCTCAGTTTTAGTTTTAATCCAACAAATGAGAAGCTGTAGCCCCATAATTAATTTAAATTTTTAGAGCATAAATCTAATATTAAATAATGTATTGTTAATTAGCTGTCTGATAGAATTAGGTAAAATTTGTTAAGGATTGTAAAAGGGAAATAGCTCAATAATAAAATATTTTATCATTTAATTATTATCATTTAGAAATAGAAAAATATTGTTTTAAATGGATACAGCCTTGTTTGGGGTAGGCATCAGAGTGCTTTGAAGTTTAATGCTTGTTTCAAAGCTCTTTTTAAAAGTTTTAAGGAATAAGCAATCTTAGGCTAAGTTTCATACTGCAATTTTCTAAAGTCTAACTAGTGTCTCAATCTTTGCATGAAATTTTCCTCAGGGTAGCTCTATTAAATGTAATTTCTTTTCTTCCAGTAATATGGACAATACCTTTTGTTCTGCAGGCTGGTAGCTTATTTCATTTGTAATAATCCAAGTATAATAACCTTTTAATGAAATGCCTAGTTCACCTACTTAATTGTATTTTTTCCAGCTGATGGACTGAGTTAACTCCACCTTCCCTCCAAGTCTTTAGCCTCATCTAATATAGTATGATACAGCAGTATCTTAGATTTTTCCAAATATATTCATCATCCCAAACCTTCCCATCCTTCAATTTTTAACTCAAACCCTACCTTCTCCATAAAGATTCCTAACTACTATGGTTTGAACCAATGAAATCACTAGTATCTGAAATCCTAGTGTACTTATAAACACACACATACACACAAACAAGTATGTTGTGTTTCCATTTCAATCACTCAGGACAATGAAATTGGAATCCAAATTGTTCTATAATTATTTTATGTTTCTCAATTCTATTTCTCCCAAAAGATTATAAGAAATAGATTTCTCATGTAGTTCTGTCTATCTCACAGGGTCTACAATACTCATTCATTCAGTCAACAGATATTTATTGTGTTTACTACATATTAGTCAGTGTGCTAGGTACTGAGTAGATAAAATACTATCTTGATTTCGAGAACTCTCAAATCTAATGGAATATAAAGATAAGAAAATAAATAATTAAAATAAAGGATGATTATGCTTGATGATTGTAAGTAAAGAGGTAACTACAGGTTGCTATGAAGCACTTAACTGGTGAAAAGAAAATAGTATCTAAGATAAAACCTGAAGAATAACTAGGTGTTAGCCGGATTAAAGGGAACTGAGTTATAGAATCAAGGAATCCTAGATTTGAAGTTCAAGTTCCCCAGTGTTGGCACTGATAAGATAGAAAAAATCTATTTGGCAAGGCTTTTTTATACTTGGATGTATTTCTACCAACACTGATAACTTGGTCTTCAAGTCTGGCTTCTTTGATTTCAGGCCTTAAGGCGTTTTTTACTCTGATGCAGGAAAATGTCAGCTTTGCTTATTTCTCTTTCCTATTTCCTTTTTTCTTTGAACGCCTTGGCTATAATAAGAGACGTACAACAATCATGTTCTTAAATTGCTTCAGAAAACAGGAGCGTAATAAATTCCATTTAGCTGCCAACAAATGAGATAGCACAGACTCTGGAGCAGAGAAACAGAACAGCAGGAAGACACATTTCACTGAAGGGAAGGTGGAGAGATAACAAAAACCTTGAGAGTAGCAGCAGGCTTCCACAAAAGAGAAGAAATGTGCACTGTGAGAGGAAGTCTTTTCTTCCTCCTAAATTAATACTCAAGTCCCAAAGAACATAAACTAAGAATAACCCTAACCCCCTAAAAGCGACTGGGTAGTGATCAATTTTTCTTTTACACAGTGAAGGGGTTTTGTTCATCCACAGATGACACCCCTGTGGACCCTTGAGCTCAGAGAAAGGCAAGCATGGGCCACATTTTTCTATGCCATTAGCTGTTGGCCACCGGAATATGGGACAGAAAGAAAACATTTAAATGACACAGCTAACATAGATTGCAGTATTTTAGCTTGTGATTGTGAGAAGTGTATGAATCAAAGAAATAAATGGCCTTGACTCTAGGGAAAACCTTTTGCAGAAATTCAAACGGTCTCTTTATACAGTTTGGGTTAAGAGCACTCAAGCCACATCAGAAACTGGCTGATGATTGTTTATTCAGATTTCTCGACTTGAATTTCTTCACCTCTGTCAACTTGTGAGTTTTAAACATTTGATAACCTGTGGAGGTCAATGTTTGATGTGTTAAAATTACAATTTATCTAACTAAAGCTTTAAAAAAAATCTTGAGATTAAGCTCTTAGTGGAGAATGAAAGCTTAGTATGGAGTCCTTAATAATTGATTGGTTCAATGCCTTGATTAGACTAATTTAAAATCATATCATTCATTACTCAGAGAAACTCTATATTCAGGATAAGAAGATAAAAAATAAAACATTAGTTCAATGAACCACATAATATTTAGATTCAATGATGTGAAACTAAAATCAAAACATAAAATTTTATTCTCCAAAGTCATTTCCAGTTAACAGAAAGGAAATATTCTCTTTTCATATCTATATGCTATGGTGCTAAATGCAGATCTTGAAATCTGCATTATGGCTCTGGTTGTTAGTTTTGACATTTGAAGAAACTCTGATCTTTTCTGGCTTCAGGGGTTAATTATAAGCTATTTTTTTCTTAGCAATCAAAACAACTGAAGAACAGTAAGTTACATCAAGTTTTATGAAATCAACACTGACTGCTCTTGAATACGAGACACAATACTAGGCATGGGGGGTGGAGGGAGAGTGGGCAGGCATAAAGAGGAATACACATTGTACAAGTATCTACAACGAAAGATTAACTGTAAAATGTATCTTAATTGTTTTCTATGATGTTTAATTTGGCATCATATACAAAAAGAAGATTAAAATGATTTTGTATTAGAATAACAAAGATTTTATAATTTACTATAACAGGTAAAAGCAGGCCAAAAGTCACTATTATTCAATATTTTTAAAGACTGGACTAATTAGGCCATGTAATGGACCAGGGATTGACATCAAGTATAGTTGTTCCATTCTGTGGTTGTGTTTTTCTTGCCCTATACAACCCTTTGGTCAAAACTGAGGTAAAATTCCCTTGTATCAGCTAAAATGTCTATTTCCTCTAAATCTCAGCCGTGGGATTGGTGAGATTAACTGGTTTATCACCTGGGGTGACTGTGGGTTTAGAACTCCAGTTCTAAGATCTATGACCCACAAAAAGCCTTTCCATTGATTTCTACAAGTTCTTGTGGCTAATGTTTTCCATCCTTCCTTCAACCTTCTGGTCTTGCAACTTGTGTGCTTCCCTGAGTCAGTCTAGATATTAAGGCCTGATCATTTCCCTTGTTTCCTCTCCTCTTAGCAAAAAGAAATCATCTTGCACTTAATACTTCATTTATTTAGTAATCTAACTAAAGAAGTCACAAGAAGCCATGTTGTACCCCATTGCCTTCCAATTGTCTCTTCACCCTACTTTCTTTTTCTCCTGGCAATACTCAAATACCTCCATTTTCAGGGCCAGGCTGGTGGTGCAGTGGTTAAGTTCTCTTGTTCCACTTTGGGGGCCTGGGGTCCCTCAGTCCAGATCCCAGGTGCAGACGGACACACCACTTGTCAAGCCATGCTGTGGCAGGCATCCCACGTATCAAGTAGAGGAAGACGGGCATGGATGTTAGCTCAAGGCCAGTCTTCCTCAGCAAAAAGAGGAGGATTGGCAGCAGATGTTAGTTCAGGGCTAATCTTCCTCAAAAACAAACCCAAAAAACCTCCATTTTTCTGGCACAGAGCAATTCTTCCTACACTCAGGATCCTTCAGGGTTTCAGATTCTACCCCAAAATCAAAATCAAATTATCAAAATATTTACAAAAAACAAAAACAAAAAATAGATCTTCCTTCCTATAGGAATCCTGATGAACAAAATTTCCCCACCTCATTTTTTGGGGTAAAATTTAAAGCCCTCTTAGAATGTTGTACTTCATGAGAAAGAGTAATGGTTGTCCACCGCTCCAGAGTCATTATTATATGTTGGGACTTGATAAAATTTTGCACTCTTCGTAATTCAAAAAATGTTTAGAGATAATGCTAGACATGAGGCCTGGTGGGAGGGTGTAAAGTCATAAAGAAGAAGAGACAGTGTATAAGTATTTACCACAAGAATTTAAAATAGTTTACAGGAAACAAAACAGCAGAGAAAGCACAAGTGGGAAATCCTGTAGAAGGTGCAGCCTCATTAGTAAGGACGGGTGGGTACCAACCATCTTCCCTGTCCCTTGGTGCCTCAGAGGCCTCCAGCTCCTTCAAACACTCTTACGCCCTGGGTCCATGTTGTCCTCTGGTAAGGTTAACAATCAGACACATAAGGAACACAGTTCCCAGTGGTAAAGCTGGATTCAAGATAAAGTAACTTGCTAAAGAAATAAATTTAGTTCAAAATCCGACTCTGGAGAAGTAGGAGTATTATCGCTTCTATACAGTAGACTCATCTTTCCTAGAATGAAGATATTCAAGAATTTGAAATGATAGTATCTACATTGCATAATTTCTTGTTAATACATGAAATATAAAATTACACAACAATTATTTCTGCCACTTATTTTTCCTCCCTGCCTCCTTCCACAAGCATTTATTGATACTCTGTGTTAAGCACCATGTGAGGACATGAGAATACAGAGACAAAAGACAGCTCTTGCCTTCAGAAGCTCAGAATCTGGGAAGGATTCAGACATGTAAACAGACATAATAAAACTTGACCACTCAATATTAAGACAGATGTGAATCAGAGTCTCATGAAAGCATGTAGTACAGGCTAAAGTAGCAGCATTAGCAGATCTTTTCTGGAAGAAGAGGCATCTGAGCTTGTTTTGAAGGATGCATAGCTGGCTACTGAGGAAGGAAGGAAAGGAAGTTTCACGGGGAGACAACACCAGATGCAAAAGCATTAAGAGCACGTGGTCTTTCTGAGGGTGTGTACGTAACTGAGCATGGCTAGAGCAGTGCGGCTGCAGTGAGTGAGGAGAGACAACAGTGGGATGGGTGAGGAGTGCTGAGAATCGATTATGAAAATCCTTGTTCCCTGAGGGCAGCGAGGAGAGGCACGGGCAGAGTTATGTTTAATGAGGTCACTATGGCTGCAGTGTGGATGATGAAGGACGGAACTGAGAAGTGAGACAGGAGGCCAAGAGCCTAATTTGGAGACATAAAGTAATCCAAATGAGGAGGAAAGCCAGTTCAATTAAACTAGTGTCAAGTTCACACGCACAAGACAAGACTTGTCTCATGACAGGGAGATAGGGAGATACGGAAGGAAGAGAGAGGAGCTGCCCCATAGCATCTCCTCGGAAGCCTCCCATCCTTTTGCATTTCAGCAGGATCACAAGGCATTGCACCAAGACTTCGATTAGCTGCAGTTCAAGTCTTTGCCTACATGGCCTATTTGGATACATGTAAGGTCATCAGGGTGCCATGGCAGAGCCATTTCCCTAAGCAGTGGGAGTGAGTTTGGAAATAACAAAGTAAAGAATTGAGGAAACTATTAAAGTAATAGAACAAACAGGATGGGCGCTGGACGGGATGTCAAGAAAAATGCCCAGATTTCTGCCTGAAGCAACTGAATAGATGATGAAACATTCATGGAGATAAATTATGTGAGTGCTACAGAATAGGATCAGTGTGGAGGAAAGGGGTGAAGGAATGGTGAGATTATATGACTTGGGAGTTGACATGTCAACTTGAGGTGAATTCTTGGGACATCCAAAGCGCAATGGCAGTAAGCAATCAGAGATGTGATTCGGAAGCTCCTAAGAAAGGTCTGGTCTGGAACTGAAGGAAGTACCAGGATACAGATAGTAGTTAAAGCCACAGGAAAAACTGAGATCAACCAGGAGTAAGTAAGCTAAGAGAAAGGCATTTATAGTATCCAAAAAATATGGTTTTTAAGAAGGAATGTTCTCAAATAAAAATCATACATCTAGATCACTATATGCGAATATCTTGCACTCCATTCCTCTTCTTCTTGCGGCTGGATTGGCTTTTAATTGTTTGGAAAGATCAGGTTTATAAAAGGAAATTGGTCACTATGGAAACAGACTATTCAATATCAAGCAGGCAGTTTCACCACGAAAAGGTAATTACTTTAGTTTTTCCCTTAATTGCATGTTTTCAATAATCATATATCCTTTTGGTCAGAAATTTCCAATCAGTTAATGACCTGGTGAGCAAAGGCAAAAACACCAGTCTGCAGCTATTTTCCCTAGGTCGTTTACTATGGGGACACCCTAAACTCAGACATTTTGTGACTTCACTACTCCATTTTATCAGGGTGTGCGATTCATCTGATTTCTATAGTCAGCCTAAATCTAAATGAACAGAGTCACAAGCAAAGTGTCTCCGTTTTTCCCTTCATGGTCAAATCCTTTTTGTTAAGAACATGTTAATCTCACGTTACTTGTCAATCATTATTCTAGGCTGGAGTTAAAATCTAAAGCTGTATCAAAAGAAAGAAAAAAATAAATAGAATTTAAAGAAATATGTCACCAAAATGCTAAATAAAATTCAAGCAAATTCTTAAAATGTAAGTCTCTTCTTTAGTTCATTACCTTACATTTTTAAACTCAGGATACATTCACATTTAAATAATTGTTACTTCACTAACCTTATCCAAAAAAGCTTGTATTAATGCTTCCTGGTTCGCCATATAAGCGACGTATCTATGTCTCCCAATGGAAGCAATTATCTGGGTCTCTTTTTCCAGAAGTTCACACAAAGCAGCTTTCCTTTCAGCTCCAGTGAAAGACTGGTTAATATGTGCAAGTTCTTCTCGCTGCCAGACTGGAGGAATAGCATGAAAGACTCTTGAGTTTTCAAAATCTCACATCTTTACAGAGCATTTTTACCATCACATCCTGACAAGCAATATTTTATTTTTGTATCAGTTTAAATAAAATTATACCTGAATAGAATCATTCATATTGTACATCTGATATACGAAAAAACAGGATGAAATAGAAGCTGAGAGACTTAAAGCAATAAAAGTAGTCAAACAAGCAGAAGCCAAAAGAAATCAGTACAGATAATGTCAAATTATGCCTCTAAGCAAGCACACTTACTCTTCAGTATTGAAAAAAACATGGCTTGGGTTTGCGGCCATGAATGTGTACTGCTCAGATCTCCCTTCCAGAGAGTACCTGTTGTGAGGAGTACAGGTAGCTAGCTGTACAGGTACAGCACTTCGGATCTGCTGCCACTTTGGAGCAGAGACCACATTCCCCTCAAAGCTCTCAGTCAATGCCTGAGAACCATGGGGGATTCAGGGCCTGGTTCCCAACAACATCTGTCCAACAGCGGTCTCTTCTGTGGTCAATCGTTGCCTCTGAGCTGACCACTGGGCTGCCTTAGACTTCCTCAGATCTGTGTCTGTTTGAGGCTCTCTATCTTTCATCCTCTCCTTCCCTCTCTCAACTTTCTCAGGTATGAAACAACACCTCAACCTGAAGACTTTCCTCACCTTTCCCTGCTCTCTCTCCCCTTTATCTTTCACTCCAACTCCATCTTGTTGTCTGCTTCCCCCAGGACCCGAACTGACACAGTTTGATGTAGAATTGTTGACTTCAATTGGCTCCTTCATTACCAGCATTGAGGTACCATTTTCAATTTCTTTACAAAACCCTAAGTTATAGCAGCAACTGTTATAAAGTAATTGCATTTACTATACTCTTTACTCAAACCAATGAATTGTTAAAATAATATTTGTAATACTTTAAAGTGTTAGTTACTATCAACAAAAAATAAATTGCATGAAACACATCCTGAGACCAAACCATACAATGCTAAAGAGCAGTATTTTAATAAACTCATTTTATCTAAACAGTAATCCCACATTCTCAAAATGAACCTTCATCAGAAAATATGGATTACTAGGTCCTATCCCAAACTTAAATAAGTCAAAATTTCTGGGCTCAGATATATGCATTTTAACAAGTGTTCCACTCAAGTCTTACACACACAAAATTTGGGAAAGAAAACTGTTTTAAATCTCACATTTCAAAAATGTCAAATGTATTCACATTAACAGAAGCACAGTGTTGGAAAGAACCTTAGAAATTAAATAGTTCAATACTCATCCCCCATTTAAGACAGTATCCTCCCCTCAGCCGCTTGAACAGTTTAATTTGCCCTCCCTGGTCCTGGTACCAGCCTGTGAGGCACATAGTCTATTCTTTGGACCACACGGCATCCCTTTGAGTATCTGAAGACAGCTGTCACATTCCACTTAGGCTTTCTCTTTTCCAGACATGAACACTTTCTTTTCTTAAATCACACATCATTTGACATAATTTCATGTTCAATCCAGGTGAAGCTCCTCTGGTTTATCACAGTACCTCTTTAACATGTGGCAACCAAATTTCTGACAAGATGGAGGTTTATACACAGGCTGCTAAGCCCTCTCTCCTAAATGCCTATGGAAATGATACAAGCAACATAAGATGCTGGAGGGGAGGGAGAGACCTGAATCAGTGCTGGAAATCAGAGAGGGGTGTGGTTCACACGGTAGAAACCTTGGGGGAATTTCTTCAAGCTATCCCGCAGGTACTGCTGGGAGACACTGTCAGAGGTACAAACGTCATCCCCCAAACTGCTGCTGTTCTGTCTCAGAAAGTGGAGGCTGGAGCAGAGGAGGCAATAACCCTTAATTCAATGACTCAGAGCTAGAGAAAGGGGAAGCTATGAACCCACTTGATAATGTATACCATGTGTAAAAAAGTCTTTGAAAAACTTTATGAAGGATGCCTATATTTCAGATCACTACAGAAAATAGTAATAATCATAACTGTTTATGCAAAAAAAAATCAAAAGCTGAAAGCATAAAGCAAGATGAGAGAAGCAAAATCAAGTATAATAATTATATCTTAAAATATGAAATGGTTAAATTTTTCTGCTGAAAATAAAGTAGAATAATTTTTAAAAATCTAATGACATGATGTTTTTGGGAGGCACACTTAAAACAAAGTGACACCAAAGGTTAAAGGTTAAACATAAAAGGTTGGCAGATATGAACAAAAAAGAAAGCACAAGCAGCAATATTAATATATAGAAAATAGAGGGGGAAACATTCAAAATTCACTCCTTCAAGTAGATGATTTTATGATGAAAGGTATGACTCTCACGAACGTTTATACACAAAAACACATCCCATGAAACTATACAGAGCAAAACGTCTATCAGCTGCAAACACTGCTGTGGTGAGTATATTTTATATTATATAAACATAAAGGAAATACAAATGAGTTACTCTACAACAGCGTCAAATAAAGAAATATTAAAAGCATAAAAAATATTTGAACAATATGCTTAACAAATTTAAATTAATTAATACACATCAAGCTCTGCACACCAAATGCTGAAAATATGCCTTATTTTTAAAGATCTATGAAGCCTATATATAAATTTATATAAATTCTAGGAGTAGGAATGGAAGGAAACACAAAATCCCCAATTCAGAAATGCTGAAAATTGCATTTTTTGACCACAGTACAATTAAACTAGAATTCATAGCAAAAGTTTAAAAAGAAATATTCCCAATTCCTCGGAAATGTAAGAAATACTATCAAAAATAACATTTTAAACAAGTAAAAAGAATGTCCACTATTAAGGAAAGAAAAAAATATTACATATCAAAATGCATGGGATGCAACAAAAATTGGAGTAAGGTAAATAAATAAACCTCATAAATAAACCTCAAATTCAAATCAGGTACCTGTGAAAAGTGTGTGGGAAGGCAGTTATAAAAAGCTGTAATGCGTGCGACAGTTAATCATAAGCCTTCTCTGGAAAGTCATGGCTTCTGTGTATCTCTCCCTTTCTCCATGATGATTTAAAGATAACTGAGAGTGGTTGTGAAAATTACTTTGATACCCCGGTATACACATCCGGACAGGGAAACTGAACTCATTTAAGCCATGTTTGTTCCAGTTCTTCATAGAAAAGAGAAGCAAAACAGAGGGCGAAACAGTGACCTACTGTTCTTTATTCGAACAAATAGTTCAAAAAGTCACTTTAGTCTCTGACACTTATCATAAGCTTCAGTTCATTCCAGGTTTTCGGTGCCTTTCGCATGTAGCAACCTTGGTTTTGAATTTGCAGAGTATCTCCTATAATTGCAATTCCTAGCAAACACAGGAATCAGGAGCAGCTAGACAAAACTGAGTTTATATCTGATTTGATAGTTTCCAGAACTATACAGAGAAGACATTGAGGAAAACAAGAGAGATTCTGTCCTCTTTCATAAAACATACGTTCCCCAGGGATGACAATTAAAAACAAACAAAATCTGGGGTGCTGTATTAGTCTGCTACAGCTGCCGGAACCAAGTACCACAGACTGGGCGGCTTAAACAACAGAAATGTATTTCCTTCTATCCTGGAGGGACAGAAGTTGAAGGTCAAGGTGATGGCAGGGTTCATTTCTACGGAGGGTCTCTCTCCTGGCCTTGTAGATGGCCATCTTCCTCTGATACCTTCACATGATCTTTCTGTGCGTGTCTGTGTCCTAATCTCCTCTTCTTAATAAGGATGCCAGCCATACTAGATTAAGTCCCGCCCGTACGACCTCACTTTTTCTTAATTACTTCTTTAAAGGCCCTATTTCCAAATATAGTCACATTCTGAAGTGCTGGGGGTTAGGACTTAAACATACGAATTTTGGGGGAAACACAATTCAGCCCATAACAGATGTCAATAACCACCAATATTTCAAAGAAAAAGATATTAAAGGAATTGGTTCATTTGCAAGAATGTATTCAGCTTATCTCCTTAACTTATCTTCTTGGACAAATCACTTAATTTCCAGGGTCTGAAGCTCAACTATAAAATGAAAGGACAGGACTAGTATCTAGACTCCGGACACATTATAAAATTTCTGAGATCTAACTTGCAATTTCCAAACAAGAAATAGCAGAAGATATAGTATTTTGTCCACCACTGGCAGTTTATATGCATATGCTTTTCAAAAGTCTCATCACAGACTAGAAGCCTGAATAGAGAGAACCAAGAAAGATTCAAATTGAAAGCACAGGGTCAGATATGTCAATGGACTGGGTCCAGGTAGTCTCCGAAAGGTAGAAGTGAGGGTACCTTGAGATCAAGAGGTAATAATGAGAAAAGAGTCAGAAAACAGAGTTAACACAAGTCAAAACATGGCAAAGGGTTAGAAGAGTCAATTCAACCAACATTTACTAGACATAATGAGAAGGTCCTATCAGGTGTCATAGGTACAAAAGTAAACAGTTAAGAGATTAGTGTGTACAGAACATCGTGGGTCAAGGAAAAGAGGCTCTGAGCTCAACCTGTGCTGTCAAGAGAGGTTTCCTAAAGATGATGATCCCTATGCTGATTCTGAGCTAAGAGTGACAATTTAGATCCATGAAAGAAGTCACTCTCAACACACTGCTGCAAGAAAAAATAAAGACGTAAAAATCAAACATTGTTGCCTTGAGTTTATCTTGGCTATGATACATTATATAAGCTTATGTAGTTAAATTCATCTTCTTAAATTGATATCATTTTGCTTTTACTACCGAGGGACAGATTACCTGGAGGAAAAGTTAAACTTCCTATTAGGAGTTGTAATTCAAACTCTGCAATTGTCACTATGAGCCACAAGAGGGCAGCAGTTTCAAAGACTGGAGTTAAGAATATGGAATGAAAACGCCATTAAAAAGAAGAGCAGTATAAATTATTGAGCTTGCGAACCAGAAATTTTAACTGCAACAAAACATAACTCAATTATTATTCTGAGAGTCTTAATTTGGATGTTAGGGCTGGAAGAAAACTAAGAGATGCCTCTTTTATGTAAGAAATCTCATTTTCATTTTCTTCCATATAAATCATGTGTAGACATATAAAATATATCTGTTCTACTTTAATAGAAAATTTGTATAAAATTATTTACCCTATATGAGTAACTAAAATATGCATGTCTTTGTACATTTTAAGCACTTTCATAACTGTAATATTTTGTATTTTTCACTTTATAAAGGTGACAGAAATTATTAAGTCCTTTGTCAGATGAAGAAACTGAGGCTTAGGAAAAGTGAGTAACTTGTCCAAGTTAACACCACTAGTAAGTAAAAAAGGTAGAACCTCATTCAGCATGTTTTCTATTATTTTGCACAGTTGCCTGTTAACCAAACAAAACAACAATGGCATCCTTTGGTTTATTCATATATGAATTTGGAATATATTTGAACAGAGTTCCCCAATAACTTTACTTTTGTACTTGTCAATAAGATCTCCAACAGACACCCTGCTAACGGTGCTCTCTAACTACTGACACTTAGAAATAACCTTTATTTTCATCTGACAGGGAAAATAGAAACAGAAGCGAAATTTAAGGTAAAACAGAGAGTATTTGCAGAGGTCAACAACTAGGAGAAAAGGGGAGTAGACGTACAAGCCTGGGGAGCAGGCTTAACTGTTACCTCAGACACTGCCACATTCCCAAAGCCACTCAATTTGCATGTTACCAAAGAGACAAATTTAGTAAAACTGCTTGTTAATTGTATCATCTTCAGTAAACAGCATATTATCATACAGCTTTTTAAATAGAACCAATATCCGACACCTAAAATCGCATTCAATTAGACAGGAAACATTGACTTAAATAACAGAACACACAATAACATTCACAAACAAATAGTGTATAAATAAATAAAGAAACAAAATTTGCTTTAAGTTCATGGTATGGATAATCATAGAGAAGTCAGAGACTGTTTTCTCTTAGGATAAAAAGACCCTGTTCAACTAAAAAAAAAAAAAAACTGAGGCTATTTTTAATTTTTAAAATTCTTCTATGTCATCACAAGAGTCCAACTTCTCCACTTTCTGGCACGTAAGGTAATAAATAACTCCTCCATTGCAGTTACTGTCACTTGAGCAGGTACTCCTGGGAAAGCAGAAGCTAGAGAGAGCTGCATTACTACATCCTGGGTTTCCCCTTCATTCATTCACTCATTTATTCCACCAATATTTGTTGGGATGTGAGCTAAGCACAGAAAAAGAGAGATCACCAAAAGGGCACGTTATTCTTTTATGGATCTCACAGTCCAGTGGTGAAAATTAATGTTAAACAAAAGATGTACAGATCGTGATGATATAAATGAAAAGTTTGGGGTGCAGTGAGAACCGCGAGATGACAATAGAATATCCAAGTTGTATCGTCAGTCACAAAATCCTTTGCGTGGGTGACATTTAAGCTGAGATTGGAAGGTGGGCAATGGGAAAAGGCTTCCAGAAGAGCAGTGTGTCTCCTGCCCTGAGCAGGGAGTGCTTGGCTTGTTCAAGTAACTGAAGCTTTTAACTGTATCAATGCCCAGCACACATCCTGTGCGAGAACTGAGGCATAAAAGTCAAATGCGTAGGGAACGTACTTTTGTATAGTATCATTAATGGAGGGGCATTGAAAGGTATTGCCAAGCCCCTCTTCTAAGGAGCAGAAGCAGAGACAGGATGCTGGATCGGGGGATTTGAGAGAGTTCAGCTCAGTTCTCCAATCCCCAAGACCATCAGAGAACCAGCTTGGACAATACTTTCTCACAGGGATGAGGATCAAATGAGATAATATAATAAAAGTGCATAATTTACAGAGCAGTATACACATTTTATCTACCCATTGTTAATATAAAGCATTTCAAGTTTTATTCCAGCCTTAATTCCTGAAATTACTAAGAAATTATTCATCTTTTAAAATTCTCTGGTACACATTCCCAAGACATCTTCCTAAAATAAGGTCTTCCTTTTATCTTTAGTAAACCTGATTTTCCTACGAATAAAAAAATCATAAAATTAATATTTTATGCAAAACCTACTTGAAACTTACATTCTAGAGCATTATAAAGAAGTTCGAAATCTTCTTTTGTTTGAGGATTATGCCTCCGGTAATAGTCCAATTGCATCCATGCTTCTTTTTCTCTTGTCTTCCTTACTTCTTCCTGTGCTTCCCACTCCAACCTTAACATTTTCTGCTTTTTTAATTCCTTGACCACGATTTTAGCGTGCCATTGTCTGTAGTAGGTCTGTAGCACTAGTACCTATAGTTAAATTAAAAGGAAATAAAAAGTGTCTATCATCAACTTTATTGGACAATAACAAAAGGCAACGATGATTATTTCTATTCCAATTCAATAAGTACCAAAAAATACTGAGAGTCTAGTTTTAACTCTATGCCAGATGTTCTCACAGACATTGTAACATAAAAGTCACGGATAATCACACCAGCTGTTTGACCTTGAAATCTAGCAAATACACCTTCACAGGAGGCAGTTAATACAATGCTTAAGAGCACAGGCTGTGGAGTAAAACTTAGTTTAAATTTCCCCTCGGCTCCTCACTAGATGTTTGGTTCAGAGTAAGTCACTTGCCATCTCTGTGCCTTAGTACCCTCATCTGCAAAATAGTAATAATAACGGTATGCGTAAAGTGCTTAGTTCAAACCCGGTGCATTGCAAGTCCTCAATAAATACTATTATTGTTATTAACATTATCTTTAGTTTACCTTAATTGTCATTAGCTTAGGCTCATATTTAAAACAAAATTGTATTTCCTAAACACATAGCAGGTAGCTTATGTGTGAAAACCACCAGAGGCAGGTTAGGAAAAGGGAGACATGTAAACAAGTATTTATTAAATTGTGAGAAATATAAACATGTCTGAGGGTACAGTGTAGTACCAGATCCTCAAAAAGCATACAATATAGCGGAGAGAGTTTGTATTTACTAAACTCATAAATAAAAATAAAGTGTGGAGAGGCTTGATCAAGACTGAGGACAGAGAATAGGCTGACATCCCTTTCCCTCATCCTAACCCCCGATAATTACGGAAAATTATACGAGCAGAAATCAACAAAGACATTAGAAGGAGTCCTCCAAAGGAACAGATACTTTGAAGAATCCCCTTAAGAAAGGAGCCCGGTGGAACAGATTGAAGAAGGAATCTCCAGCCTAGTCATGCGCTGCAGAGGCAAGCTAGGAAGCACCACAGTGAACCTGAGACTGCCGCAGGCCCCAAACTGCACGGTCGTGTGAGCAGAAGGGGCCTTGGGGCAACTAACAAATTCTAGAGAGAATGAAGAAAGTGGATTAGAGAAATTTCTCAAAATATAATAGAAGATTTCCCAAAACTAAAGGAAGATATGAGCTCTTGGATGGAAAGGGTCCGTCCGTCACCAAGTCTCAAGCACATCACACGAAGATCACTAAGGATAAAATGAAAATCCCGAAAGCTTCCAGAAAGAGGAAACAAAGAACCTAGAATCCAACTGACATCACGTTTTAATCAAATACAGCTTCAAAGTTACAAAGGAAAATAATTTTGAAAATAAGTTGGAATCTAACCTTTTATACTCACTCACACTAAAATCCAAGACTGAGGTTCATTCAATAGGACTTGGATGGTTTACCTCCCATGCATAATCTCTGAAGGAATTACTAGAGAATGTGTCTCAGCAAGAACAATAAACGAAAGGGAAAAAATTGAAGAAGCGAGCAAAAACTTCCAAAAAATTTATTAAGCTAAATACATCCTATTTGAAAAATTCATATATATATAAATATATAAAAACAACAGTCTAAAGTTATTATTATATAGTAAATTATAAATATATAATAAATGATATATATATAATTGTAATTCCAGATCAAATCCTTACTGGGTAGGAGGGATGAGGGAGGCGGAGAGGGAATGAAGAAAAGAAAAGCCTGCTAAGGTCCTTGGCTTGTTCCTGGAAAACATATAGAGACTGATTAAATATGCATTTGGCAAAAAAAATTTAGGGAGCTGGCCAGGTTGCCTAGTGGTTAAGTTCACACTCTCCACTTCGGTGGCCTGGGGTTTGTGGGTTCAGATCCTGGGCGCAGACCTACACACCGCTCATCCAGCCATGCTGTGGCAGCGTCCCACATAGAAAATAGCGGAAGACAGGCACAGATGTTAGCTCAGGGCCAATCTTCCCCACGCAAACAGAGGAAGATTAGCAACGGATGTTAGCTCAGGGCCAATTTTCCTTATACACACACACAAAAATTTAGGTGCATTAAAAATTTTTATGAGTAACCACTAGAAAAAATAGAAATAAAGTACATACTTCTGAACTATGAAAGAACAAAAAAATGAAAAGTTCATTCAAACTAACAAAAAGTTTAGCAAAAGAATAAAAAAATAACAAGAACGAACAATAAATAAAAAATAAAATGAGATGGCAGGAATGGATACAAAAACATCAGTAGTTACACATAATATAATCTTACTTAAAACAAGAAAGATTAAAATACGTACTAAGCATTGAACTCAAGGCGCTCACGAATAAAATAAACAAATGCAAGTAGGAAGGAATCAGTGAAGATAAAAGAGCTTATTAAATGGAAATTTACTCCTTATATTGGCTTTTAACCAATCCCTCTGTCTATCCCTCACATTTCACTTGCATCTCCCACAGAACCTCCAATTCACTCTCCAAGATTCTATGGGGCAGATCAGTTTGGTTCTTGATGCCCTCCCCCTTGGCAGGCATTTAGAGTTTCACCTCCTCTGCTCAAGTAAGTCATGTTAACACTTCTCCATCTGCTTTACAACTTTAAAAAAATCTACTGACATTTTCTCTTGTCTCTTCTTATGCATTCTTTGTTGTTGTATGTTTATAGTTTTTTTATTCCTTTAATACCATTTTATTGGAGTTTGGAAAGTGTTGTAAAGACTTCCATTTCCCCACCTAATATACATTCTCCCCTACGTCCTTACTAAGAAAATCTCAATTGTAGTTAGGAGCAACAACATGAAACTTTAAAAATGTGTTTATAGGGGCTGGCCCAGTGGTGTAGTGGTTAAGTTCACATGCTCTGCTTTGGCAGCCAGAGTTCACAGGTTCGGATCCCAGGCACAAACCTAGCACCACTCATCAAGCCAGGCTGTGGCAGCATACCACATAAAATAGAGGAAGATTGGCACAGATGTTAGCTCAGGGCCAAACTTCCTCACAAAAAAAAACCCAAAATGTTTTCATCACACATTCGCAGCAGGGATAGTCACGTGACATAGTTCAGGCCAATGAGATATAAGTGGAAGTCACTGGATGGGGCTTTCAGATAAAACTCTTGAAGGTAGCATACATGGGACAAGCTCGCATGACTTCTCCCTTCTTTCTGCAGATAATGCAGACATGCGAAAGGTTAATTAACCATTTTATCATCATATGGTAACAAGTTCACGATAAGATTAATGGAGCAGAAAGGTAAAAGGAGTTCAGGTTCCTGATGACATCACAGAGCCACCATCCAAGTCCTGTACAGTGAGAAAGTAAAAATTAGTTTGGAAGGAGGAAATAAAAATCCTTCCAGCTGGAATAACAGGTACTAATAAAGTGAGCTACAAAGTTAACAGGAAATAATACTTCTCCCAAGGACCCTACGCAGCTGTAAAATGTCACAACCCCCTTCTTTGAGTGACTACTATTTTCTTACTCACTGAGAAACTCTGGCCTCCAAAATCATAATCCATCAGAAACCACTGTTTGAAATTAGGTCACTAAGAATGAAACATCCCACTCTTGCCTGGAGGGCTACGTCACTTTGACAGAGAGAAGCAGCCTTGATTTACAATCATGCTGAACTTCAGAGAAGCAACAACACTCCACATCTCTCCTAATTTTGTTCCCAAAGGAACAGACAGGACTCCTCTCCACTTCTCAGTCCAGACCTGATGTCGACCCATCTACACACAGCCTTGCTTTGGACTAAGATGATCACGACGCTGCTTCACTTAAATTTCAGCAAAACTTCACTCTTCCCCAAAAGTCTCTAAAAACTCTATCTTTTCTTTTGTTTGGTGAAAATTAGTTTGGATTGAAATAGTAAAAATTCTTCACTTCAGGCTAGAATAAGGCTATTAAGCTACAAAGTTAGCCCTGTGTTTCTCCTCGTGTGCAGTCTCCTTCAGTGCAACGAGTCAATAGACTTGACTCCGTTGAATTATAAGTTTGTCTCTCAAGGTCTTAGGCTGATTGGGCCAGTCTAGCTCCAAGTTTCTTCTTGCTCAACAGACAAAATCACTGCTTTCATGTCTTTTTTTTTATCCACAGCAAAACAATGCTAGGAGGGACCAGAGATAAAATGCATGTACTTCATTTGTCGTGTTTAATTGAAATCCCAATATTTAATGGAGGAAAGGTGTCAATTTTTCCCTAGCTGATCAATGTACTTCTGATCAAAACTTTCAATTTTTCATGAAAATTGAAACCTGACTCTAAAGAAATCATGTGGAGGCCGGCCCAGGGGCCGAATGGCTAAATTCACGAGCTCCACTTCAGCTGCCCAGGTTTCGCTGGTTCAGATCCTGGGCACTGCTCATCAGGCCATGCTGAGGCAGCGTCCCACACGGCACAGCCAGAAGGACCTACAACTAGAATATACAACTATGTACTGGGGGGCCTTGGGGAGAAGAAGAAGAAAAAAGAGAAGATTGGCAACACATGTTAGCTCCGGTGTCAATCTTTAAAAAGACAATCGTGAAAAAAAAATGTACATTAACAGCTAAGACAGTCTTGAAAAGGAAGAACAATGAGGTAGAACCCAATGTTCCAGGTCTCAAAATACACTATAAACTAGTAGTAATTAAAACAATATATTACTGACAGAGAAAGAGACATATACATTAATGAGAGAATGACGAAATCAGAAACAGATGCACATATAAATGAAAACTTAGCACACTAAATGTGGAGGGAACATACATGGATATTCATGGTATTGAGAGATTGGCATTATATTTGCAAAAAAATATAAAATTATAACTCTTTTTCATATCATTAAAAAAATCCAGATAAAGTCCTAAACACATAAAAACTATAAAAAAAAGTTATATTTATGACTGCGGGGTATATAGCCTTCTATAACAATGTGTAAAATGCAAAAATCAAAAAGTGGAATGTTAATAAATTTGACTACAATGAAAGATACCATAAACAAGGTGAAAGTATAAAAGATAAGTTGAGAGAAAATATCAAAATATATGCAACATCTATTAGATAAAAAATTTAAAA